CAAAATTATGTTTACATTTTCATTACTCTATAAATTTCGTCACATGTTTTTTTGGACAAAATATAATTTCAATTTCTTGAATTAATAAATTTAAAATTACCCTATAACTTTTTTCTACCCAAAAAAGAAAATATCAGATCATCCACTAAGCAGCCTTGTTACGACGTCGTTTAGATCTCTTGCCGAAACAAGGAAGAGAGAGAAACCCGTGTGCCCGTTCAAATCCGGAAAAGAAAATTAAATAAAAAATAAAAACCGTACCATCATTAAATGAAAAATAAATAAATAAAAATAATAATAATATAATAATAAAAGCAGCAGAAAAGGGGAACCAAACTAAAAACCCTCTCATATTTCAGTCTCTCTCTCTCTCTCTTTCCGAACCCTCATTTCTTCCACTTCTGATACAGCTTTGCTTGGATTCTCGGTAATTCCTTCTCCGTTCACATTTTTATGTTACGTTTCGGAAGGCAGGGGGTTTTGATGCGTTAATTTATTCGATTTACTTTTCTACTATTAATGTATTTATATTCTAATTTCACTGCCTTGCCACAGTTTTGTTTGTCTTTCTGATCATTGTCCTTTGGATCCTTGAGTTGTTTGTGTGTTCTTGTGTAGTGGATACCTCTTTTTTTTCTTTTCATGATACTTGGTGGCGATCTTCGTGAATCATAATGTTAGTTCTGAATGGTACAGTTCAAGCCCTTGCACTCTATTTTGGGTTTCTGGGCGCAAATTGTGGTACGATATTCGTTATGAAGGAACAGTGAGTACAAGGAGTTTAATTCTGCTATAGACAAAAAGGAAATCAGGAAAAGAAAAAGAACCCTCAAATGGGAAGCTCAATTTAAAGTTTCCTTTCTTTCAGCTATTTGTTAGCTTCAACTTTTTTCTGACTCTAGTTGAGTCATCTGTTATCGATCTTTGTTGTATATTCATTTTGATTATTTCGGGTGTTAAATAGAAAGATTTGAAAGTTTCTTCCAAAAGATTTGAAGGTTTAAGATTCAATTCTGAGATTATCGCCTTTTAATTAATTTCTGGATTTAGAAACCCTCCTAATCATTTGACTTCTAAGCGTTAAATCCTGTTGGCTCTATTACTTGGCTGGGACAATCATTTGGAGATTGTTCGTTCAGTGATTGGTGGCTAATGCAATACTAGTTCTCTCATCATATCTGTAATTTGGATTTGTCAATCATGCAAAGCTTTCACTCTCTTTAGCTCACATGCACATGCATATTGTTTACCGACATTGACTTTTCACAGATGCATATTCAAAGTTCCATGCCTAGTGCTTTCACTTGCTGTGTTATTTTTGGTTTCTTTGGACATATGGCTATCGGTTTCTTGTTACAGTTCTTATTCATGCTTTAATGACTGTTATCTCAATTCTGTGTTTGCAATGATGCATGCCAATATTAAAATTTAAGTTCTAGGAGTTGGTTAAGTACTTCTGGGTGATAACAGATCTCTTACATTCTTTTTCTTTTAAAACAATATCTTCTACTTCATTCTACTTCATTATTTGTCAGTGAGGCAATGCTTTAGGGGGTTACTATATTTTCTGTCTTGATTAAGATGATCTAGGACTTCTCCTGGTGCACCTGAACCTACCTGATATCTAGCAGGGTTTGGAGTTATATTCATCATTCAATCATGTCAAGAGTGGGGATTGAAATTGGTAAATTTAAAATGATGAATTGGTGGGGCTAGATGGTTTTGGGGGTAAAGTTACACTATCTCAACTCATTACCATCATTAATGTTTGCGTCAAACAATATTATTGTGAAGATAACTGTCTGTGATAGCCTCGTGTTGTTGTTCTATATGTTATCATGAGTTAGTTTTATAATAGGTTATGACGAGTGGGAGGCAACTAGGAATTGTAGCAGTTGGGAAATTGAGAAGGGGGAGAAAGAGAAGACATGGGATTCTAGCTTTTGTGATTTAATTAAATTTAGTAACTTGAACATAAATTTTGCCACATAAGCAATATGAAAAATGATTGATCATCCGATACAATTAATATTATAAAATACAATAATGTGTCATATAAGCACATTTCATTGCCATGTTACTTCTACTAAGGATTGTTTGTTTCTAGGCACCATACATGACCTTTCATTTAAAGCCCAGGGATTGTGTTAATGGTTTTTGAAATCTAGAAATCACAATTCAGATCTTAAGGATCAACGTGAAATTTATGCTTATTATTGATTAGTTTAAATTTCTTTTAGTGTGGTTACTTGATTTTACATGAATAATGTTGATGAGTAAGTTCCAAAATAGAAATTCCGAAGTTTTCAAACAAAAGCAAACATCTTCTATTCATGAGAATATCTATGAGCAATTCCATGTAAAGATCAAACACAGAAGTTCTTTAATCTCATATATTTCATATCCAGACCCAGAGATCCTATTTCGTGCATCTCAATTTCACCTAAACATCTGAAACAAATGGCCTAAAGAGATTGCCTACTTATCTTGTCTAAAATAGAGATAAATTATTTGTAATTCTCAGCTCTTAGTTGTTAGTTTTGTTGCCCCTATTCACACTCTTTCACCTTAATCTGTCTGTATTTGTAAGAAAAGTTCTTCCTTTGAACTTGTTGAGTAATAATGTTTGTACAATCTCCAGATATAGATTTTCAGTTTCTGCTTTCTAGTGGAAATCCCAAGGTCTGGTTGATTTGCTTGACTCTTCAATGGGGGATGCTGAAAATGCAACATCTACAAAGAAGAGGGCTGCTGGAAGGGAACTATCACGCGATAACCCTGGGCTTGATGATGAAGATGATGTGTCTGAGCAAGCGACTGGAACATTCAAGCGGGCTAGTGATGAAGTGCTAGCCGGCAGAAGAATTGTCAAAGTGCGTCGTGGTCAGACTGCCTCTACCCCATCTTCTAATCCCTTTGCGGGAATACGCTTGGTACCTCCAACTGATAATAGTGGAAGTGCTTCAGAAGGTAAAAGTAATGCGCAGGCAGTTGGTGAAAAAACAGGTTCAGATGAGGCAAATGGAAAGGATGTTTCCCATGAAGAGAAAAAGGATGGAGATCATAATGATGAGCCTGCAGAACATAAAATTGACACATCAGAGGCTGAATCTGGTACAAATGTGCAGAATGTTGATCAGAATAGCACTATTGTAAGTGAATCTGCCATACCTAAGGTAGATGATAACTTAGTGGCTGAAAGTAATAAAATTGAAAATGAAGTGCAAGCAGGAGAAGATAAGACTAAAAATGAGGAGCTTATAGGAGGTGAAAATGCTGAGAATGATGCATGTGTTAGTGGTGGTAAGAATGAGAACGAGGATCCTGCACAAGGCAATGAGAATGAAAATGAAGAACCCTGTGAAGGAAATGAAATTCAAAACAAAGAAACTGGGGATCAAGAAAAGGTAGAAAATGAAGAAAAGAAAGAAGTGGGAAGTGAAGCCGATACTAGTAAGGAGGCTTCTCCGTTGAGCTCATTCCAACAACTGTCAAGTAGCCAGAATGCCTTCACAGGTCTTGCAGGTACCGGATTTTCGACTACTACGTTCTCCTTCGGTAATATACTCAAGGATGGGGCTGGTCTAAGTTCTAGTTTTGGTCTCTCTAATAATGGTAGCTCAGCCTTGTTTAATACTTCTTCCACTGTTTCCAAGAGTGAGAAAAGCGGTTTTCCATCAATGCAAGAGGTTGCAGTTGAAACTGGTGAAGAAAATGAACGTGTGGTTTTCAATGCTGATTCTATATTGTTCGAGTTTCTCGACGGATCATGGAAGGAACGTGGAAAAGGAGAGCTGAAAGTTAATGTCCCGACAATCGGTACTGGCCGAGCAAGGATTCTGATGAGGGCTAGAGGAAATTACAGGTTAATTTTGAATGCAAGTCTTTACCCTGACATGAAGCTCACAAACATGGACAAGAAGGGTATCACATTTGCCTGCATGAACAGCACTAGCGAAGTGAAGGATGGTCTTTCAACATTTGCTTTGAAGTTCAAGGACGCATCCATAGTGGAAGAGTTTCGTGCAGCAGTCACAGAGCATAAAGGCAAGGCTTCTTCTACAGTTCTGAAAACGCCAGAGAATTCTCCTTAAGGACTCAATACTTGAAAGTTATACTTGGTGGAGAAAAGCAAAGCTGCAAATTTCCTGCTCTGGAGTGCTATCAGAGGTTATCCTACAGCTCAGGCATTTCGTACGCCATCATTTAGCAGAGTCGTAGAATCTTGCGCATTTTGTTGTAGTTTAATTTGTCGTCGTAGACTCGTTTTCTGTTCATATCTGGTGGGTGGAACATATCTTCATACTGAATATGCTCCTAAACCAGGGAATCCTTGGCAGAATCTCATAATTGTCCATTAAACTTTGCGATATGAACCAGCTTTTGTTCCAAAAAGATAGAAATGCAGAATGCTACTTTTGTTATTTGGATATAGGATCATTGTGATATCAGAAGTATACTGCCTATTGAAACTAGTATTTGAAACAAGTTGAGGTGCTCTTCACCGCTATGCTGCCTTTCATTTCTTTATGCTGATGGTATCCTGAAACAACCAGAAGGGCTTTAGTAGCTCCTTTCAGCTGTTCTTGTTATGAAGTGTTATGCGTACAAGTTTTTGTCCAAAATTAAAAGCTTAAACGTCATCTACCAGTCAATTTCTTTGTCAATTAAGAGGGTTGCATAATAATTGGAGAAGGGAACGAGTGCCAGCAAGATGTTGGGCCTCAATAAAGGGTAGATTGTGATATCAGCTAAGATGTTGGGTCTCGAAGGGGTAGATTGTGATATCTCATATTGAAAGGAAAAGCCCAAAGAAACAATATCCGCTAGGTGTGGATTTGGGTACAAATGATATTGAAGTAAACACCGGGCAGTGAACCCCGAAAAGAACTGTTTTATGCAACATATGTTGTTGTACCATTAAATTTTCCAGTTGTGGTACCAATTGTTAATTGATGTGATTTTAATTAGCCATGAAATCATATTGTGTAGAAGTGAGATAATCTAAATATCACCAAACACCATTCTCATTATCATAACATCGAAAAGCAACCTTGATTATTACACAGTGACGGCGAGTACATGACAAACTAGAAACCATATTAGATATATCAAAACATGCTTAGTAGACATGGGACATGCTTAGAGTCCAATGGTGTTTGGTTTTCACCACTGACACTTATTGTCTTTAAAGCCAATCCCAGCTCCTCAGTTTTAAGCCTTCAAACATGTTCGAGAGCACGAGTTCACACAACTTTCCACTTTCTTCTCAGCTGCCAAATTCATTAAAAACATTGTCAAAAGCGTGTAGGAAAGTTAGCTATAAACACGTTAATCGCTATTTAAAAATGATATGGAGTTCAAAACGAACAATTTGTGGACACGGAGGGATATTACGATAAACATATTAACAATAAAAAAATATAACAATAGAAAATTTTCAAATATTACGAGAGTATTAGAAATTTTTTAACCTGGGTCTGTCTTGGTGCTAAATTTGGTGCAGAGAGAAGTGGCACAGCCAAGTTTGCAGAAATAATGAGTGTCCAAATGGTTGAGATCTCTAGGGGCAGAGGCAAGGAAGAGGCAATCAGCCAAGCACTTTCCGCCGCATGTGCCAATAGGGACGCCTGGTGTGATAGCACACACAATGAAGCACTTGGCGTAGCACTTCCCAAAGGAGGCTGTGGACCTGCCTGCAACTAAGCTCAGAATGAAGCATATTACAACAACGGACTTCATTTTTCTTGCTTTCTGTGGTTTGGGGCTGTGGGAAAGAGTGTTTCTTAAATAAACACTTCCTTTGCCGAAACCCAAATGATTGAAGCATTGACGATTTAAACCCATTATCTTCAAGAACAGTTACGAAATCTTTTTATATATTTGAGAGAATTGAAATTATATAACTTAGAATAGTTTCGTCCGTTGGATAGATTATTACGGTGGACTCAAATCTTTTGGCCGTCTATACTTTTAAAAAGTGACCATTTTACCCATGGTCGCATCTTAACACAAAACAAATTTGGAAATAATTTCAAGCCATTAGTAAGATTAAGCATGCTCAATGGATTCTAGGTTTTGGAGCAATATCGCTTAAATATTATTATTTTATTTATTAATTTTGACATTTTAGACCAAAACTTTGGCTCCAACTTGAAATATAAAAAGTTGATTAATGGCACCAACCCTCTTCACCACCCTTGATGCTCGATGCATTCATGATGGTTTCCATTACAGAAAGGTCCAATTGGTTGAATTTGAACATAAACCCAAAGAAAAACAATAGTTTATTCAGAAGAAGGTGGTGGAAGTTGTATAGATGGTCAAGATTAAGTTTCCTATAATGTCCACTAACCCGAATGGTTTAGGGTAGACTTCGTTAATTTTAAGGTCAATTCAAAAAAAAAAAAATGTACTGGATAGAATATTAAACGAATATTAAACGAGATCCGTGGCTGAGCTCTATCACTCTAGTAGTGTCTCACTTATGTACTTATGATCTCCTCTTTTTTAGTTAATGTGGGACTTTGGTAAAAAAGGGTCGTCATCCATTTGTGTTTACTTCCATGCATTCACTTTTTATTAGGTCAACTCCTCTTCAATAAAGCTTACAATTCGTTTGATAAGCTAGCTCAACTATAGAGCACCACAACTGTGCCATCGAGACATCAATCAGAGGCATTCTGATACCGCTTGTTAGGAATAACGTCCATCTATATATCTCTACAATAATATGATGTTGTCCACTTCGAAAATATGTTATAATCATCCTCATGTATATATCTATTATCATTCTCTTTTCTAACCAATGTGAGACTTCGTTTATACTTAACATTATCAACTAAATATTTGGTTGTATCTCAACTATTATTAAGTTTATGCTTATTATATGATTATAATGTGTTGTTAAATGCAATTAGCTTAGGGAAGAAGGCGTTGAGGATTTTTGGGAGAGGAGTCCCACGTCGGCTAATCAATGGGTTGATCATGGATTTATAAGAAATATATCTCCATTGGTACGAGGTTTTTTTGGGGAAACCAAAAGCAATGTCACGAGAATTTATGCTCAAAGTGGACAATATCATACCATAGTGGAGGTCCATGATTTCTAACCAAAGGGGACCAAACGGCTATTTCTTGAAGTAACCGTGGGAGATCCCACATCGGTTGAAGAGGAGGATGAACCATTTTTTATAAGAGTGTGAAAATTTCTCCGTAACAGACACGTTTTAAAAACTTTGAAGGGAAAGGAAAACCCTAAAAAAGGATAATACCTAGGAACGGTGGGCTTGGAATTTAGTCCAATAAGGAAAATGGTGAGGTTTGATTTGTGGTGCATATTGACCATGTCTGCTGTGTCTCCTTCATTTCAAGCAACAAGAGCTGCTGTCATCCTTTTATGACGGTTCCTGTCAATTCTCACATCTTCCCCAAACTGTGGGGCATCTCATACACTCCTACTTTGCCCCTTAATTGGTAAACTTTGTAAGTAGGTGCCCAACTGCAGCTTTTTCCCCGACGAACTGGTAATCCTGTGTTGTTGATTATATGGATTGAGATGGTTTTAGGATTTGAACTTCGATATTTCTCTGTGAAAACATAATCCAAGTGAGATCTGCTGCCGTTGTTGATGCCATGGCTCTATACTCTGCTTCTGGGCTTGATCTAGCCATAGTGGTTTATGTGTTGGAGTTTTTCTGTACCTTTCAATGCTCCAATCTTCCTCAAGTTTTGGTTTAAAATCCATTTGGATACTACCATATTGATGTTGGTGTTTGGTGGGATTTTGATGGCTGCCTTCAACCGCTAAAGTCGTTAACAAATATTGTTCCTTTTTAGTTTTTTCTTTCCGATTTTTCCTCAAAGTTTAAAAATCATTTTTAAAAGAGTTCATTGAGTAAAGAGACACTGGTGTAACAAAATGACTTTTCAAATACCAATGGAAGGCGGGCTATTACTTAAGAACAAGGAATAATATGATTTTATTGTGAGATCTCATTGAAGAGAAGAATGAAACATTTTTAATAAGAGTGTAGAAACTTCTCCCTTGGCTGAATTACAAATTTAGTTCCTACGAAGAAAATTAGAATTTAGTTTCGTACGCTTTGATAAAAATTCCTCCAAGACAGTCTATACTAAGAGATTCATCAGAACTATTTATGAAGTTTCATCTGGTCGATGAAATCTCAACTTCCTCTAAGAATAAATTCATAATTTAATCTAAAAACAAGCATAGACTTGCATCATCACTCACGTGAAGACTGAAAGCCTGGACTAACGAGAATAAAATAGTACAAAACCACAAGAAAATGAAGCTAAACATTATAACATCAAGAAAGACAGCCAAAGATACATTAGCCAGTATTGAAGTAAACCAGAGACTGAGAAACACAGCCCAAAGTTACATTAGCAACTATTTGAAGTAAGCCTCAAACCAAGAAACAAAGCCAAAGTTACAGCCAGAGTATTGAAGAACACCTCAAACCTTTAAAACGTCTTTGCAAGTTACAAACACAAGGTGCCTGTTCGAAATAGATGGCACGAAAAAGTAACTTCTGTGTATGGAGTAGGAAACATGACTAAGTAGTGAGGATGGGAGGGAGGTAGTCAGATTTGGTTCCGAGTATACGTGCTTTGGTGTCGGGGAAGAACTCAAATCCTGGGAGCTCTGTCACATTACCTTCACTGCTTATGCCAATGGGATAGCGGAGGAGGTGACCGGGCAAGTCCCTCTCAAGTGCTTCACTTGAATACAGATCCCAATACTTATCAGCAATTCTGTTAACCTTCGAAGCACATTCTTCGCTTTCTGGCCGAAGGAAAGATTCATCAAGCATACCAAGGTGTTCATACCATAGGGCCATTCGGAATCCGTGAACTTGACCACGTGCAGGTTCATGGGTTGACAGATGATATGGCTGATAACCGCCCATAGCTATCTCAGAGTCCCTTGCTCCATCCATGGATCTCTGGTTGATATTGGCCGATCCAACAATTATGTACTCATCATCAACTGCAGTAGACGTTGAACCCAGTCATTTCATAAAGAAAATCGCACATGTTCAAAAGAAAAAAAAGGAGAATTCGTAGGAACAAAAATAGACACAGGGCATTGCTTACCAATCATCATCTTGGTGTGAACATAAATCATGAAACGCCTGGCCTGCTGGGCTTTCATGTAATCGGAATCCTCCTCTGGTGCCTCTGGAGGTTCATATTCTCCAGACCTCTTGACTTCCCGATTGCCAAGACAGAAGAATGTCAAGTAGTTACGGGGGTCCTCCTCGATACCGTTATCTCTAAGAGCCTGAATCACGTCTTTATACATCATTTCAAATGTCCTCCTCTGCCAATCTAATATTGCCTGAACCGATCCACTTTCTGGTATTCCTTCTGGCCACATTGGGACAACTACATAGACAGTGAACCTTTCTCCTGCTGCAATCTTACTTACGATCTTAAGGGAAAGCTCTCTTGGGATACAGTGCAAGGCTCCAATATCCTCAGGCTTGATATCCTCAGGAGACCATCCAAAACAACTTCCAAGGAAATATTGGTTTTCAATATAAATAAAATTCTTAGCCCGCCGAATAGCATTAATGTAAGCGTCTTGAATACTTCGATCAATAATGTTATCTTTCCCGCTAACTAGCCCAGCTCTAGCAGCATCTTCGGGGGTCTCAGGAAAGCCAAAGGCTGCCCCACCATCTATAGATCTAAACAATTGAACATTCCAGGTTTCATGGTCATCTGGGTACATAACAGGAGATGGAGGAATAATTATTTCATCAAGCTCCCGAAGCTGCACAAGGACATCCTTCCCACCTTGTTTCTTCCACCTTTGCTCAAAATTGAACAAGACATCCCAGGCAATGGGCCCTTCAAGTCGGGAATGGATGTCGTGCCAAGGTTCCCTTGGTCCACCTTTTGTTATTAATGCACCAGGAAAGTTGGGTTGATGGAAATCATCGTGATGTGCAGTATCCAATGTCCTGAAGAGGGAATGAAAGGGTGTGTCATACCTGCCATCACAAAGATCAAGGCCACCAACGAAACTCACAATTCTCCTCTTATCCGAATCTCCACTTGGCATTGGGCTATCCACAACAACAATCTTCTGATGGTGAGTGAACATTGTAGAGATTTGTAGGTCTTGAACAATGCTTCCACCATCGTCAGGATTACGAGGGCACAAGATACAGTGGACATCAGTATCTCGAAAGAACTGTTCAGTTTCTTCATCATGAGTAGCCATCAGACCATCCTTCTTTAGTAAACCGACTGATGTTCTGTCATCCCAGACAAGCATAAGAACTCTGACGCCTTCACTTGCTTTCTTCTTAAGCAGCTCACCAAGCATGGTGTCTCCTCCGGGCTTTGGCCTCCTTGAGTCTCTTATCAAGGCGATTTCTGTATAAACAGACCATCCTGTGATGTAGATCATGTGTTTTGCATTTTGTATAGCGTCGAAAATATCTTCCCAACATCTGGCCGGAGCATAATTCTTTCCTCCAGCAAGAGGTATTTTAGGAACAAAATTATCAGGGATATGAGCATCTTGATACAAAGAGACTTTACAACCTTGTCTCTGTGGGTAATATGTGTAGGGGACTCCAGGAAATTTGTGGCTTCTTATACCACGACCCCAATTGCGATCTTTAGTAACTCTGAAGTATTGAAGCTTGACACGGATCTTAGAATCTCCTTCAATTGGATTTTTTTCTTCATCTAAGAGTGGAACCCACCTGTCAACTTCCTCCCCATCAATGATGTCTTCCACCGGTACATATGCACGTCCAATCAAACTTGCACCAATAGGGTTATCATCCTTCACGGTGAAGATAACATT